ATATATAACTAGCTGGGTACACGTTCGATGAAAGTACTTAAAATAATCGTCGATCGTCAAGCCATTGTGGAACCAGTGCGCACAGCTTATGAACGGGAACCTCACTGGTTCACAGTGGCTTCTAAGAAGACGCACTTTCCTAAAATTAGATAAAAACGAAACTAACGAAAAACTGAAAATTAAACTAAAGTGACCTCAGACTCCTCAATAAAAACTGTACTTTTAAATGATTCTGAAACACCGTTAATTTTTTTCAATTTCGAAAGTTAAGTAGTTTGAAAGTTTTAGGCTGTCGAAGTGACAGCCTTTCACAAATATAATATTATGTATAGATGTAACGTATTCATTTATTTATTTATTATTTATTTCTAATTAAGGTAAACCAAATCACCAAAAGCAGAACCTACCATGAACAAATTCTCCACCTCAGCGGAGGGATATGTGAACACGTTTTCTTCCTGACTCGACAGGTCAGGTGACCTCTGAACCTCAGCGCTGACCACTGGTGAGTAGTTGTCCGTGGAGGCTGGACGTCCCGCCGTGGCCTGGAGTGTAGCCTGTTCCATATCTGGGTCAGAACCTCGCGTCTGCTGCGGCTGAAACCAGATGTGGCCATCATTCCAGGAACTGGGAAAGAGACAAGAGGAAATACATTGTTTTAAGTCGACAGTTATTTCAACATTGTTTTAATGCAGGTGTTTAAGGCACCCATCGACATAATTTGGAACATTTAGGAGGCGGGCTTCCAACTCTGCCTGTCACGCCACATTGGGTTGAGAGATGAGAGAGATACACCATCACAGAAAAAAGATATAATATTAATAATAATAATAATAATAATAATAATAATAATAATAATAATAATAATAATAATAATAATAATAATAATAATAATAATAGTAATAATAATGATAAGTGCTGGACAAGTGGTCCAAAATTAATAAACGAGGTGGGGGTGGTTTGACAAGACGTGGACCAAATTAATAAAAGAAGGGGGGCAGAATGAAAAGGGGGTGGGGCTGGGAGGGGGGGGGGGCTGGCACATTCAACTTGATATCCCTGTACAAGTAGGAACAAACCAGTTTTCATTTGTTTAAACTTAAACCATGGTGCAAAAGTTTTGTTTAAATGCACTAAATTGACGTAGCCAACCCGGTACCGGTACTAATACTGAGGGGAATTTGCCAGGTATATTTTTTTAAAAATACGTTTCATTCAGATATCTAGATTGTAGGTATACTGTTTCACGTGATTATAGGTCGTGGCAAGGTAGAAAATAATAAACGTGGGTTTGTGTGTGTGTGTGGGGGGGGGGGGCGGGGGGGGGTGGAATAAAGAGAGAGAGAGAGAGAGGGGGGGGGGGGGGCCAAGGTGGATAAAGGAGAAAGGAGAAAGGGGGTGGGGGGGGGGGCCGGGCCCCCAAAAAAACAACAACCCCCTGAAAAATTTAATAAGCGAGGTGGGGAGGGTTGGGTATGGAATAAGAAGCGGTGTGGCCGCGGTTTAAAAAATGAAAATTAATAAGCTGGGGGAGGGGGGGGGGAGCTTCCTGCACGCACTGTTGATTTTCAGCAGGGTGTTTATGCCATTTGTAGAAGAAAAACTTTCTAAAATTGATTTTTTGAAATGTGTCTCGGCCCGGTGGAGTCAAACGCTCGTCAAATTTTTAGTATTTATGGGGTGGGGAGGCTACACATGAAGGCTTATTATTGGACCAAATTTTACCAAGTTTCACACATATAACTAGCATAGTTCATGGTGTTCGCTTAATGTTTATTTATTTGACTTGTTTTTATTTTTTACAAGCAAAAATTAACATTTAAAAGAAGAAAAAAAATCCCCGTCTGTCTTGAACAGAAGTCGAGTTATTTCCCCTTGAAGAAGGCTGGGATCACCTGGCGAGAATATGGGAGTCAAAGTTTGAAAAATTTCAAAGTTTGAATGCTCTTGAAAACTGCAAATTTACGGGTTTTTTGTGCCTTTGATCTACATTTTTAAAGTAAAATCCACCAAAAAATGTAGATCTAGTTCTGAAAGGACCTAAAAGATGTTGTTTTAAGAACACCACTCCCCCCCCCCCCCGAAAAAAGCAACAACAAACACACACACACACACACACACACACACACACACACACACACACACACACACACACACACAGACACACACACACACACAAACACACACAAACCAACAAAAGGACAATTTCCCCTCAGCCAGGAAAATGCTGGTTTCTTTGATTTCATTATTTTGACGAGCGCCTGATTTCCCCGCGATGCTACATAAATGTTCAATGCGTTTATTTGGTTGTGCTAGTCCTGTAGCTTCAGAAATCTCAGAGAGATTGAAATTGAACCGCATTTACTGAACCAGAACCTCTTGGACTTGTCGGTCGTTCTATAAAAAAATAATAAAAAGGCTTTTCTTGGTCTACAGGTAAGGTGTTCGCCTCTTATTCAATAGGACCCTAGTTGACAGCAACAGAACATTTTCTTCTCAAGAAGTTTCTCCTTTCACCTCTTTTTTTTCTTTCTTTCTCTAACCGTGTTCTGAGAAGCAGTAGAAAAGCTGCAGCAGCGTCAGGGGCCCAGAGGAAGGGGCAAAGTTGGCCAGGGGGTGGTGGCAGAAAGAGGAGACGAAAGCAGACCACAGAATATTATTAGGGAGCAGGAAAGGAGGCGAAAGGGAAACATTTTAGAGGAGACAATTTTCCCGTCGTTGTCCGATTCGAACCCGGGACCTATTGAACTAGAGGCGAACATTGTGACCTCTCGACTACGAGAGACCCCAAAGAAGAAGAAAAAGAAGAAGAAGAAGAGGAAGAAGAAGAAGAAGAAGAAGAAGAAGAAGAAGAAGAAGAAGAAGAAGAAGAAGAAGAAGAAGAAGAACAACAACAACAACAACAACAACAACAACAACAACAACAACAACAACAACAGCAACAACAACAACAACAACAGCAACAACAACTACACGAATGATAATGATAATGAAAATAAAAATAATAATAATAATAATAATGATAATAATAATAATAATAATAATATAATAACAATAATAATGATAGTTGCAATAATAGCAATAAGAATAATAGTAATAATAATATTAATAATAATTGTAATAATCTTAATTATAACACGATTAATGACGATAATGATAACGATATTAATAACCATAGTAATAATGATAATAATGACCACACTGGTCAATACACATTTTGCGACATATGATTTACGATTTTTGTAAAACTAAATTGGGGGTCGCCAATTCTAAAGTTGGCATTAATTTTTGCCGCGTCACCTCAAGTTTGGGTCATATTGAAAAATAGTATTTTTTCAAGTCAATTCGACAAAAGTTAGGAGTTTTCAAACAGTATATTAACAAACAGTCTTATTTAAACTGAGCTTAAATGTTTAAGAATAACATGATGAACCTTTAGATGTGTGACTTTTCATTCACAATAAAAAAAAAATTTCAATAATTGTTAAATTAAAGGTAAAAAAAATACAAAGTTATATATCCCTACACGTGCCTTGCAAAAATATAGTTCTATACATCTTGACCTTCCATCTTTACAAAAGAAGGTTAAAAACTCTTGTACGAGTAACAGTATTGGTTTGCCTATAAAGGCTACTTTTGTTGTAAAAACGGAGTTAGGAGATTTTGTAAAAGAAGTGTACAAATTTCAGGATGAAAATCAAATATTATCCCCCCCCCACCCCCCACCCCTCTTACAAACACACACACAAGATAAAAAAAAATGGATGGCATAAAAAAGAAGTGAACACAGTAAGAACAGATTAGTGAAATGCAAAAAAAACATGCCGGGCATTTGTTTAAATGAATGAAAAAAAAAATCACACAGACACATATGTACACACACACATACACACACACACACACACACACACACACACACATACTCACACACACACACACACACACACTCACAAACACACACACATACACACACACGCACACAACCCCCGAAACACAGGTAGGCGCACACGAGCACATACACTCTTTGTAAACTTCAATGATATAATTTACATTCACCAACTCCTTTTACTTGCATAATAAGTTTGATTATACAAAATTATGTACATGTACATTTCTGTGAAAACCCACACCTTAGCAATCATATTATTATATACCTTAAACATGAACCATCATCGACATATAAAACATTAGAAAACATTAAATACAATGTCAGTCATTTCATTATTCCTTTACCTTGAGACAATCCAGAGAATACACACAGAACTCAAAACCAGGAATGTGAAAAACACTTTAGGGCTTCTGGAAGGCATCATTTTGGAAGAAGATTGAAATGGCACTGCACAGGGTAGCTGGCTTTCTTAATCCATGTTGTGACGTCACGGAAATATAGCGTGGCCAGAGGAGGCCTAGGATCCGTTGTTCGTTTTTGTCTTATTCTATAAATAGACGTCACGTGGTCATACTAGTCGTTTGCAGCGTTTAGTTGAGACAGCAAATAATACAGCATGTGTGTCCATACTACTACTACTACTACTACTACTACTACTACTACTACTACTACTACTACTACTACTACTATTACTACTACTACTACTACTACTACTACTACTACTACTACTACTACTACTACTACTACTAACATTAATTTAATGATGATAATAATAATAATGATAATAAAAAAAAAAAAAAAAATAAATAAATAAAAATGATAATAATAATAATAATAATAATAATAATAATAATAATACAAGTAGTACGAAATAAAATAAAATAAATAATAATAGTAATAATAATAATAATAATAATAATAATAATAATAATGAATTATCATTACATGTA